TTTATTTTTCTTCTGATTTTAAAGGATATTAAAATAAGTAGATTGAAATCATTAAAAACATTTTCATGAGCCCTTAGTAGTACTGTGGACCTCCGTACTGCTTCTGGTGCAAAAATTAGTCCTGTTGGAAGCAGGCAGATTGAACCTTGCCTCATAGCCACTGCCCACCCCACCACCCAAAGCCCATCTCTTACCACCTAATAATCACACGAACTGCTTCCCGGGTTGTCTCTCCATGGATTTGACGCTTAGCATTTCTCATCATACTTATTCCTTCCCACAACCCCATATAGCAGGTTTTATTCTCATTTTCCTAAACCAAAAGCTGAGGCTCAGGAAAGTTGGGAAATTTTCCCTAATTAAAAGAATTTCCAGTTGGGCCTGATGGTGCACACTTGTAATCCCAGCACTGAGAAGCTGAGGCAGGAGGATTGCCATGTAAGTTCGAGGCCACCCTGGGCTACATAGTAAGTTCAAAGGCAGCCTGAACTACATAGCCAAACTCTGGGCAGGATTTGTGCCAGGTCCGACTTACCCCCAAGCCTGTGTTTTTCCAGTCATGGTCTCTTGCTCCCAAGGTCTCACTGTGCCCCACAGGCTGGGACAGCACACATGAAAGGGAAGGAGAAAGGAGCAGAATTTTAGGGGTTGTCCCCCCCAGAACTGGGAGAGCTGCCCTTTGCAGGGAAGGTCTAGAGCAAATAAGTAGGTTGGCAGCCTCTGGTGGCAGTGGATCTGATGCCTCAGTGATAAGAGATTTAGCTCCACCTGGGAATAAGGGCCACAAAGAAACCATCCAGTAGTATCTGGGTCAACAAAAAGATAGGTGAAGGAGCAGAATAGATTGTGAAGGTCATTGGCTGTCAGTTGGGATTTGGGTGGAACCTTAATGTTGTGGTGCTCTGCTGTTGGCCTCCCACCCACAGTAGAAATGGTGTAGTCTTTCCAGACTTGAGGAGGGAAGATAGAGGGTCACATTATTATTTCCTTGTTTGGACAAGATGGCCAGAAAGGACATGGGTAGGAACAGGAGATGCGGGGGAAGTTGTAATCCTTTCTGTGCTCCCACTCCCACTCTTTTTTTTTTAGCTCCTAGGGATCAAACTCACTGGCTTCCACATGCTAAGCAAGCTCTCTGCCATTGAACTTTTCCCTGAGCTCATTGCCTGCCTTTTCACGCTGGACTTCCTGAACTTGGTTTACTTTTGTGATGGTGTCAGTTTTTTCATTTAAAATGTAATGCATGGGCCGGGGATTTAGCTCAGTGGTTCCAGCACCTGCCTCGAAAGCGCAAGGTCCCGAGTTCGATCCCTGGTACCAAAAAATAAATAAATAAATAAAATGTAATACATGTCTCTCCAGGTGCGGATGCACATTCCTATAATTCCAGCACTCAGGAGGCTGAGGCAGGAGGATTGCCACGAGTTCAGAGCCAGCCTGGGCTACATAGTGAGTGCAAGGCCAATCTGAATTGCATAGCTCACTATGTCTCAAAAAAAAAAAAAAAAAGTAATGCATGCCTCTTAGGGATTAGCTTTTATATGTACATATAAACATAAATGCCTGTTTATGTATCTTTTACAAAGATATAACTATATATGTCGTGGAAATTTGCTTTTTTTTAATGGAACAGTATACATAAATCTGTCCCAGTAATACTGCAAATCTACCACTTTCTTTGGTGTTGGGGGGAACAGGTCTTGCTTAGTTGCCCAGGCTGGCCTCCACCTCTAGATCCTTCTGCCTCAGCCTCCATAGTCTGGCTTCAACTACTCATTCTGAGCTAGTATTTTCTCTCCAATAGCCCATGAACCAACACACTGTGTCCAGTTGTTCTCTTCTATTAAGGAGACATCCATCTTTTCCCTCCAGTTTCTGTTTAGTCTTGTACAGGTCATCTCTAGCCCTATTAGAAGATAAAATTCAAGTTGTAAGCTTGCCCTACATCTTCTCTCTGG